GCCCAGCTTCCAAGGGGGCGGGACGCCGAGGGGCGGCGACGACGGGGCGTGCCTTTGGGTCAGGCATGTCCTCCTACAGGCAGATTTTGGAGGACAGCATAGAAATAGTCCAAGACTGCTCCAAAGTAGCCAAAAATAGTCAAAACATCCTCCGCATACTTTTTGGTGCGGCTATTTTTGAAAATTCCTCCTGTAGAGGGACACGCCCGACACAAGCGCACACGGGCGAGGGGAGCTCTTCGGCCGCAGCGTCGCTCGCCTCGGAGGGCGCCCGCCGCTCACGCCAGGGCGAGGGGGGGCGGGGCGCCCAGGGACGACGACGGGGCGTACATGGGCGAGAGGAGCTTCGGCTGCAGCCTCTTGGGAGCCGCGGCCTCCGCCGCCCAGCGAGGCGGGGCGCCCGCGCACTCGTCGAGCAGGGTCTCGTAGTAGCCGTCCTGGCCCCAGACGGCCGAGGCCGCGAGCTGCTCCATCTCGGCGGCGCTGTCCATGCCCACCCGGAGGTACTCCTCACGGGCGGCGAGCACGCAGTCGGCCCGCATCGCAGGGGCGCACGAGAAGGAGGCAAAAGGGCTCTCGAGGGCCACGCTCAGCGTTTCTCGAACGAGGGTGGCCAGCGAGAGTCGCTAAGGGTGGGCCGGAGGGGCAAGGATGCAAGGGTATCCTTGGGAGGGTTGCCCATCCCTGTTCTGCGGGTTGAGTGTAGCCGTGTCCGCGCCTTCGCGGTCTGGATTCCGGGGCGCGATCCCGCCGATGCGCGGTCGCACGGCTACGTTCCGCGCGGGGCCTCCGCGAAGAAACGCCCCGCATCCGCGGGGTCGCGGCCCCGGGGCCCTGCCCGCGAGGCCGCGGATACGGATGCGTGCGTTTCACCCAGAAGGTCCGGCGGGGGCAGGTACATCGTGTCGAGGAGGTCGTAGTGGTTCTGCCACCAGGCGCCAGCCATGCCTCTCTCGCCGAGGCCGCCGGGGGTGCCGTCGAGCTCTGGGGGGGCGAAGCCCTGCATCCAGGTGTCGACCACGTCCTGCTCGCCCTCGCCGAGGCCATCCTTCCCCGTCTGGCTCGCCTCGCTGAGAAACTTGGCCAAGTCCGAGCACAGGAGGTTCGCGTTTGCATGCCGCTGTGCGACATCTTGCCTCAAGGCTGCATCCAGCAACGTCGCGCCGGGGTGCGGCTGGTTGGCCTCCAGATGTGCACCCGGCTGAACCTTTCTGCTCGATGGCGTGAACGGGGGCCTCCGGAGCTCGTGCCTGGTGTGGGCAAATCTGCAATCTGGCGCGCTGCACTGCCCCGTGCTCATGAACTCCTTGCACAGCTTCGTCCGGGAGAGGTCGGGCAGCGGGTTCATGTCGACCCCGCTGTGCGCAAAGCGGCAGTGCTCCCCGCGCGAGCACATGCCGGCCATGTTGAACTTGCACATCTTGGTCTTGTGGAAGAGGGCCGGCTGCCACTGCCCCTCCTCTAAGGAATCGAACTCTATACACCGACGCAGTTTCCGGCCCTGCATTGAAATTCGCACTGGAGCGGATCCTGGTGTACACGGGACCCTGATGTACACATTTTTCGTTGCTTCCCCGGGACATCGGGGAGAAAAGTATACGCCACACCGCCCCAGCGTCGTCCCCGACCCTCAAAAAGTCCTGGGATTGAAGAACGGCCCGCCACTTGTAATGTACATGTTCCAGCTTCCGATCCTCGTCCGCCTCCCCGCGCGCCCCGCCCGCGAGGGGCGCGGCGGCCCCCCGCGCCCGCGGCTCCCGCCTGCCCGTCGTCCGAGGAGCGACGGCTGGAAGAAGGAAGAGCCGCCCACACTGAAGGGGCCCAGGGACATGAAGAACAATAGACACAGATCCCAGGAGTACGCTCAACCCGTCTAGTAAGGATGCGCGATGAGGATGCAAGGGCGTTGGACGCCCATTTCGAAGCTTTTCGAGCGGGGCGCGGCCAGCGAAAGCGGCGAAGGATGGACCGAGGAGGCAAGGATGCAAGGGTACCCTTGGGAGGGATGCCTATCCTTACTATGCGGGTCGACTGTACCCCATGTTTCCATATTTTCTGGGCTTTCGTCTTCCCCCCCACTTACCATACTTTCCCATCTTGTCCTGGGGACCGACGACTACTTGTGTCTGTGTGCTCTCCCCCTCCGGATGAGCATAAATTTTCGGAGGTCCGCGCGGATTTCTTGGATCGGCGCTGGACCCCGCCCCCCGCTCCCCTCCCTGGCGCGCGGAACGCACCAGGGGCTGCGCCAGGGGCTGCGCCAGGGGCTGCGCCAGGGGCGCCGCCGGGGGGCCCAACGCGTACCCAAGAAGTCCGCGCAGAGCTCCGAAAGCTGGATCACCTGACTTCGCACGCCGCGTCCCGCGATTCGCGACGCGCGATGATCTTCGCGCTCTCGCGCAGCCCCTGTGGAGAAGGGCAACCGCTCGGACCGAGGCCGCGACGCGCGAAGCGCGATGATCTTCGCGCCCCCGCGGATGACCTCCGAACAAAGCTTATGCTCACATACGGGTTTAGCTGCCCCGATACGCCACACGCGACACGCAGCGTATTGATACGGAGCTCAACAGGTGCCCTGAACACGTAGGTCTGACGCGAGACGTTCGCCAAAACGTGGGCCAATGCGTTGACACGCAACGCATTGACACGGACGTCTTGAGTACGGCACTTGTTGCGTATCAAGACGTGGGCATCGCGACAGCGAAGCAAACGGCAGCTGTCTCTTCTTCGAATGGCCCACCTCGACCAGGCACCCCCCGCGCGGCCCGCGGCCACGTCGATCCCCGGCGGCGGCGCGCGAGGCGCGGAGCCGGTGCTGCCGCTGCTGGAGGCCGCAGAGGCGTAGCTGTCGGGCTCCCGCGGGCGGCGGCGCGGCATCGCCGCCTGGGCCTCTTGGCGCGTGCTCGGCCCCAGACCTCCAGCGGCCTGGGAAACGCAGCGCGGAGCTTGTTCTCGCTGTCTTCGGCCTCTGGGGGCCCTCGCCGGACCCCAGGGCCGTGCAAAGAGCAGCTCGGGAAGAAGAGCTGGCCCTGCTTCTCCTCCTCCGCCTCTTCCTCCTCCTCCTCCTCCTCCTCCGCCTCCTCCTCCTCCTCCTCCTCCTCCTCCTCCTCCTCCTCCTCCCTCCTCCCCAGACCTCCTCCCCAGACCTCCTGGGGGGCCCGCACTGAGAAACTCAAGGCATCGGATTTCTGGGGCGCTGGCGGGATCGCTGCGGCAGCGGGCGCGGGCGCCCGTACCGGGGGCGCTCGGTCGGCTGAAATAGCTCGCGCGCGCGGAGAGGGGCAGAGGCGATGAGGCGAGACGGCAGGCTCGTGCCGACCTCGGCGTTGGTTTCTGACACCGCGGGGATCGTTCGACCTTGAACGACCGGCCGTGAACCGAAACGTCAGATCGTTCAACATTGACCGATCCTGGGTCGCCAGCGGCGCTCAGCGTTGCACGCGGGCGGCGGGGTCGCCGCCGGTCGACACGACGCGAACCTGCCGTACCTAGGTCACCTACCTTCGCGTATCGCGCCCCGCTAGGCGCGACGCGCGGTTATCTTCGCGCCCTCGCGCCGACGCCCTGGAGAAGGGCGCCTCGCTAAACCAGGGCGCAGCGCGCGAAACGCGGTCATCTTCGCGGCCCTCAGGGTGGCCTGGGATACCGATACCATTCCCTCGTCGCCACGGCTGGACTCACCCTGAAACTCGAGACAGAAGGCACCCCGGGAGAGGTTCAGGGAGCAGCGGTTCCTGTATCCTCCTGTCTCCCCGAGAAGGAGGCAGGCGATGCGGCGGAGGGACGAGGAGCCCTGGCCGAGGGGCAGATGGACAAGACGAATCCCCAGCATGACTGCTCGTGGACCCCTCGACGACACGCAAGAGCGACCCTGGGTGAGAGTGACCTCTGGCGCGCGGCTTTTGTAGAGGGCAGAAAATCCACACCCAGAATGATCACCCCGACACGCGAGGCTGTTTAGCAAACGCAGCCCGAAGAAGGAATCGAACAGGGCAGGGCTGTTCAGTAAACGCCCAAGGCCGTTTAGTAAACGCCAATTGTCGGGTCTGGGTGGTTCTTCTTCCCTTCATTTTGGGGGACCGCGGGGGGACCAAACACGAGCGCGCAAGACGCTACTACCTCGTCGCGCTCGGCGATCAGGGGACCCCATTGGGCCCGCACCAAAGGTCGCTCTGGCGGAAGGTCACACTTACGTTTAGTCGGACCCCTCGCAGTAGCCCATCCTGAGCCGGCCTTCCATGCCACGCCAAGGCCAGTGAGGACGAGGACACTCAACGACATACCCAGCAGGACGCCGAAGAACGCGATGGATTCGACGACGTCGACGTCGTCGGCGTCACCGCCGTCGCCCAAATTCCTTCCCTTGAGATCCGACATTGCGAAAAACATGCGCCATCGCGAAACATCGCGACCAGAGCCCTGGACTCCATCTGCCTGCGTCATTTCCCGAGCCGGGTCGATATGTGATGGTCTTGCGGACCGAAAAAGGGCGGATGGGGGAGGAGGAGGGGGAGGAGCAAGAGGAGGGGAAGGAGCAAGAGGAGGAGGAGGAGCAGGAGGAGGAGGAGGAGGAGGAAACGTCTGAAGCATCTGAACTCTGGGTGGTGAGTGGCTGGTGCTAGCTCAGAGGGAGGGTGCGACAAGCTGGGGGCGCGCTGTGCGACAAGGCCGCGACGGATCTCTTCGTGGGAGGCCACGGTTGGCGCGGAGCCGAACGAGGCCGGCAGGAAATCAAAGTTTCGCCGCGCGCCGTTGACGCGACGGCGTCGGCAAAGCGGGCGGGCAGTGAGCGGGCGGGTGCCTGGTCGCTGGCGCTGCGCTCGGCGACACCGCGGCGTCGGCGCCCACGATCAGGCTCTGGGCGCCGACCTCCGGGAAGAGTGGCTTTTTGATGTTTTGGGCTCCTCCTCCTCCTCCTCCTCCTCCTCCTCCTCCTCCTCGCCTGCCGCAGCGCTCTACGGCGCTTCCCCGGTCCGGCCACCGGCGAGCGCTCCGACCCGACTTGCCCGCGGAGCTAGGTGGCCTGCCTTCCCGCAGCGCCCCGCGATGCGCGACGCGCGATCCTCTTCGCGCCGTCGCGCCCTCGCGCTGCCCCCTGGGAGAAGTGAAGCCGCTCTGGCCCCAGCCGCGACGCGCGAAGCGCGACCATGCTCGTGCCCCAGCGGGTGACCTGGCGGATGCTCCCGTTCTCGCCTCTGCCTTCCCGCTCGTCTCTGCACGCTGGCCCCGGCTTGCGGCGGCCGCTTCCAGACGCTTGCGGCCGCCCAGCTGGACCTTCGCGGGCTGCTGAGCAGAAGAGAGTTCGGGATCCCCGCATCTCTGATGCATCCCTGCCTGAGCCTGAGTATGCCTTGCTGGGGTGATCTGTGGGCTGTGGGCCCCGAGGCCCGACAAAAGTCCCTGCACGGCGCTCCGCCTTGAACTCCAGCGGCGGCGGCGCCGCCCCGCCGAGTCCGAGCGAATTTGTCGAAGAGCCAACCCCCGAGCCCCTTCGAGGACACCATCGTGACCAATTCGTCGAGCTGCGCCCAGCCGTGGCCACGAGGAAGGCCCCCCCCCGAGGCACACAGCACACCGTGAACAAAAAAGCCCCTCGCCTCGAGGAGCCGCGCGCTCCGCGCCGACGGCGGTGCGCGCCCTGCTCCAGGAGAAGGGGCCCTCCTCCCCGGAACCCGCGCCCAGCGTGCGTGCATGATGTGCGCCGAATGGGAGGCATGTCCTGAGGGCCTCGGCCATCCCTGGACATGGATGCCCCCCCGCCCTCAGAGGGCGGGGAGGCACCCCAGGCCGCTGAACTTCGCGCGCCGTGCGCCGCGATGCGCGGCGCGCGGTCAGCTTCGCGCCCTCGCGCCGACGCCCAGGAGAGAAGGCCAACTCGGCGGCCCCGGCCGCGACGCGCGAACCGTGGATATCGGAGGAGGAGGAGGAGGAGGAGGAGGAGGAGGAGGAGGAGGAGGAGAAGGGAGGAGGGAGGAGGAGGAGGAGCACGACCAAGGTAGCCAGGGCGGAGGAGGAGGAGGAGGAGGAGAGGAAGGAGTGGGGGAGGACGAAGGAGGAGGAGAGGAGATGGGGGAGGAGAGGAGGAGGAGGCAGGAGGAGGAGGAGGAGGGAGGAGAGGAGGAGGAGGAGGAGGGGGAGGAGGAGGAGGAGAGGGAGGAGGGGAGAAGAAGGAGGAAGAGGAGGAAGCGAGGAGGAGGAGGAGGAGAGGAGGGAGGAGGAGGAGGAGGGAGAGGAGAGAGGAGGAGGAGGAGGAGGAGGAGAGGAGGAGGAGGAGGAGGAGGAGGAATGGACGACGACGAGGAGGAGGAGAGGGGGAGGAGGAGAGGAGGAGGAGGAGGAGGAGGAGGAGAGGAGGAGGAGGAGGAGGACGGAGGGAGGAGGAGGAGAGGAGGAGGAGGAGGAGGAGGAGGCGGAGGAGGAGGAGGAGGAGAGGAGGGGAGGAGGATGGAGGAGGAGGAGGAGGAGGAGGAGGGTAGGAGAGGAGGAGGAGAGGAGTAGGAGGAGGAGGAGGAGGGGGGAGGGGAGGGAGGAGGAGGAGGAGGAGGAGGAGGAGTGGAGTGGAGTGGAGCAATCGGACGTAGTCCGTTCGGACGTAGTCCGTTCGGGGGAACAAAACGCCAGGGAGGGCCATCCAGATTTTCTCGGGGTGGCGTGGGTGGCGACATCCCACGGCACCTCGCGACAGGCCCTCCCCTGGCCTCACAATTTACTCAGAGCTGGAGCCCCTCTCCGAGGCTCCAGGAAGATTAGGCTCTTGCCTGAGGCTCGAGGCGACCTCTCGAAGGACGCTGGCCTCGGATGAAATTCCGCGGGCTGAATTACTGCTGGGAGCTGCCGTCGCTGACGGCAAGGACGCGTCTGGGGCACAATCGAGCTCAGCCGAGGTCGGTCCTGAGAACGGCTTGGAGCTTCGCTCCCTGGGGCTCTCGCGGGGGACGGGAGCACCGCTGGGAGCCGCCACAGACGCTATCGCAGCTTCGGCTGCTGATTCATGCATTGCGGCTAAAACAGACTTGCTGGGACCCGATCTGGACGGGTGGAGGCCACGTCGGATCCTGCTGAGGTTCTCGAGGCCTTTACCAGTGGGTCCCAGGGCCCTGCGCTCGCCAACTTGGTGGCTGAGCGGGCAGGGGTACTGTAGGTTTTTGACCTGGTGCGTGGCCGTATGGCCGCACTTGACACAGAAGAACATTTGCCATTTGGGGATGGCGGCCAACAAGTGGGAGGGGTGTATCGCCTTGCCGCTGATCACACGGGGGCCCCTCGTCAAGAGGACCTCACCACACGCAGCAAACTCAGGAAGGGGGCTAGGCGGTACACACTCCGATGCGGCAGCTGGAAATATCTGGCAAGCGTCGACGATAATGTGACAGGAAGAGCATCGCCATTTATCTACACACCGAACGAATTTGTGCTGAGAATCCGCGAGAGCGGTCTGCAACTGGGAACGGGGAGCAGCCTCTTGTGTGGGTTGCCTCTCTGGCCACTGTCCTCGTGGCTCTGCATTCTTTCCAAAAGAGCGAAGAATTAGGCGTGCACGCTGGCGGACGACCGCAGCGATAGCATCATATTCATCAGTCCCGGGCACGGGCGGGAGGGCTTGGGTGGCCGCCTTGTGGGCCGCATCTCCCGCAAGCTCGTCGGCTTGCTGGTTACCGAGAGCTAGGAATTTCTGAAAGCCGTGCAGGGTCTGAGGATCGGCGTGGGACGGGGTCCAGAGCACCGTGACCGAGTCAGCTCCACGCGGTCGATCCTGCACGAGATGCCGAATTCTCAGCCAGAGGTCACCATTCTTATTCTTACCTTTGAGGCTACCTGGCCTGAGACATCTACCATTCTGCCAACCACGCTGCAATGCTAGGTGGTCGGTGACATAGGTGAAATCCTGGGGGCACGTCTCTAGTGCCAGGCAGAACGCATACAATTCTCCTCTTGGGACGGTCTGGCGGGAGCCTGAGAGGGGGGCATGGAGGCCCGAGTGGAGGGTCCAGGAGGCCGAGGGAGGATCCCAACGAAGAGCAGCAAGGCCTGAACCGACGCGACGTCTCCTAACGTCGTCGGAATAGGCTCCGCCAGACCCGTCCCAAAAGAGATACAGCTCACCTTCGCCATTACGAGCTCCTTCCCACGCTGGCAAACCCTCCCGAACCTCACCCGAAAACTCCCACCCGCCCCTCCCAGTCACTGGCTCGTAAGAGGGCGTAGTGAGAGCAGAAGAGGGAAGGCCACGGAGCCACAAAGCGGGGTCGGCATCAGCCCCCGCTAGAGCTCGCGGCAGTAGCTTGTCGCTGGCCTCGAACTCGGGCCCAACATTCGCATCGCACTGCCACATGCGATGAAACAGGGTTTCAGGGACGCGAGCGCTGCAGCGATCACAGTTTCTGTCGATCTGGTAGCCTGCGTTGTGGAGGCGGTCTCTGGTCCACTGTCCTCCGCTGATGATGGTATTGTTGAGGGCCCAATCGCTGAAGTCGCCTTTCGCGAGGAACCTCTTTTGCTCGATGCGGATAGTGACCATGTCTGCGCCTCCTGCAAGCGTGTCTCCATGGATGTGTGTAGCGGCCTGCCTCCAGAGAAGTCGGTGTAGATCTTCGCTGAGGTCTTGCAATACTGTGTGGATGTCGGCGTCGAGGAGGTCTGGGTCGTCGGCGAGAGGAAGGTTCCACTCCTCGATGTAGCCGTTCTTCGTGCGCCTCCACGTCGTAGCGGAGGTCGGCTCCCAGCTGGCCTCTAACAGGGTCGCGATGGCCGCGCCTGTGGGGCCCTTCACCTTGCACCGCATCTTGGGGCCAGCGGCGAGCAGGGTGGTCTTGATCCTTGGCCAGATCCTGGCGTGCGTGTTCGGGTGGCGTATCCAATGCTGAAGCCACGCCTCGAGGAACTCCATCCTCAGGGAGACGCCAGGGTCCGCGCCGTCGAAGGTGGCGCCGAGGAGGGACGTGAGGCAGCGCCCCGCGGCAGAGCCCGTCGCGGCTATGGCGGCCTGTCGACGCCAGCGGAGGAGAGCGTGCCGAGCGAGGCCATGAACCTGATGTCCGAAGACTCCTTCGGGAAGAGCGCCCGTGCGCCACAGGCCAGCGGAAATACGGGCCTGCTGAGCAGTGCTCCGTAGTCGATGTATTTTGCGAAACCTGGCGGTGGCCGACTTCTGCCGCTTCCTGGCTTTGGCTTGTACTCGTCGGGTAGCAGCAGCGGCGTCCACGCCTAGGTCAACGGCCGTGGACGTCGCAGTTACTGGAATGTCGTACTGTCGCATCAGCTTGGCGAGCAAGTGGCGGACCTTGGGTGTAGAGCCGATGAGGACGGTCTTGTCTGAGATAGGCAACTCGAACTCCTTCAAGCCGTCGCAGAGCATCTTGGCAGCAAGGGGGAGGTGCTTCTGCAACGCTCGTAGGACACCTTCAGCTCGTAGTACCGTGTCGTCCACGAAGGTCCACATCTGGGCTAGCTCTGCCTGTGCTTGAGCATGTCGAAGAATAGGTAACAAAATAAGTCGTGCCAGGGTGGTGCCGTGAGGGGAGCCTGCAATGATGCCCTTGAAGGCGAAGATAGGCATGCTCACCCATTGACGACTGCGCAAGAACCTGGGCGCCAGGTAGAGCTGTACTTCCAATAATAGAATGATGGCAGGGAAGCCGCAGTTGAGGCCCACCATGATCAGGTTGGCGAGCTTGATATTGTCGTAGAATTTCTGGATGTCTAACAGCAAGGTCGCGGACTGAATGCCGAGTGCTGAGGTTGTCTCATCTAACAAGGCCCTATGTAGGGCGGCTTGGAGAGCTGAAGAGCCCTTGATGGCTGTAGTCCAAAAGTCGTCAATTCCTTGCGACCAAACTTCCGAAGCAGTAGATCTAATACGAGACCAGAGTCGGGCCATGTGTGGAAGCATGCCAAGGACTCTGTCGCCTCCCGCTTTCTTGGCGGCGAGAGCTGCAATGGTGCCTGAAATTTGTAAAGGCCAGATGCCAGCTTGCTCCACTGAATTGAGAGCATCTGCATAGGCTTCGACGGCAGGTTCTGGCAATCGATGAAGGTCGCGAGGTCCGAGGGCATCAACTCCATGTGCTTTACTTGGTGGCATGCGGCCGTGTATGCGGTGTATTTGCTCGGCTGTGATGGGCTCGAGAGGTTGACCAACAGCTGCTGCCTTGGCCTTATTCAGGGCCTGGAGGATGTCGTCGGCCCCGCCGCCCCCTCGGAGAAGGGCCGCCGCTCTGGCACGGACCGCGACGCGGGATCGCGCGACTATCTCCGCGCCCCCGCGGGTGACACAGGAGGCCAGCGGAAAGCACCGTGGGAACATCCAGGAATATCTACGGGCGAGAACGAGGGTCACTACGCCACCTTGGCCAGTCCTCAGGATCACGGCTCCCGATCGGCGGACCTGGCAAGGCCCCCCTGAGCGCAGAGGGAGCGGAGAGCACCGAAGCCGCCGCCGTCGCCGCCACTGCTGCTGCTGTCGCCGCCGCCGCCGCCGCTGCTGCTGTCGTCGTCGCTGCTGCTGTCGTCGTCGTCGCTGCTGCTGCTGCCGTCGCCGCCGCCACTGTCGTCGTCGTTGCTGCTGGTGCTGCCGTCGCCGCCGTCCCTGCTGTCGCCGCTGGGGCGGCCGCCGCCGCCGCCGCTGCTGCTGTCGCCGCGTCGTCGTCGTCGTCGTCGTCGTCGTCGTCGTCGTCGTCGTCGTCGTCGTCGTCGTCGTCGTCGTCGTCGTCGTCGTCGTCGTCCATGTCCATCGTTGCCGCCACCGCCGCCAGCGGCTGCGGCGGCTGCGGCGGAGCTCCGAGGCGGCGGCCCGCGACGCCACGTCCGCTGCCGCGGCGCCGCGGCCGGCGAGGAGCGCGAGGGCGCAGAGCGCGGCGGCCACAGCCATCTGAGGTCTCCGGCTGGGGCGCCGAGGCGGCGGCGGGCGGCACCTCCCTCCCGCTCGCTCTCGCTGTCTCTCGCGCCCTCGCGCTGCTCGTCCTCGTGATCCTCCTTCCTCGTCGCCCTCTGTCTCCTCCTGCTCTTCCTCGTGCCCACCTGCCTCCTCCTCCTCCTGCTTTCCCTCCTCCTCCTCCTCCTCCTCCTCCTCCTCCTCCTCCTCCTCCTCCTCCTCTTCTGTACGCAGCTCCCCATTTCCGATTGCGCACCACACGGGGGGGGGTCTTTTGGGGAGTTCAAGGTCCGCTTTGACACGAATCCGCGGATAGAGAAGAAGCAGCGCAGCGCAGTGGAAAGGGATGGGTGGCAGGGATGGGATGCCAAATATGACGCGAGCGCATCCAGCTTGTCTCCTTTCCTTTCTGCGTCTCTCTCTCTCCCTCTCTCTCTCTCTCTCTCTCCCTCTCTCTGTCCCTCCCTCGGGTGTTCCTCAATTTCGGCCCTCGGGGGCCGTTTTCGGGCCCCAAGACCATCCAAAATAGATCCTTGCGGAAACAACAACCACAGCAAAGCGGCCGGAGCCTCCAGGGCTGCGGACCATACAAGTATGGGTATAGGTATGCGTACATGCAAACATACATGCATGAAAGCAAGCATACGTACAGCCATATACATATACACACATGGAAGTACATGCATGCATACATACATACATACATACATACAAACATACATACATACATACATACATACATACATACATGTATACATCCATACATACATACATACATACATACACATCCATCCATCCATCCATCCATCCATCCATCCATCCATCCATCCATCCATCCATACATGCATACATACATACATACATACATACATACATACATACATACATAACCAAACATGCATGCATGCATGCACCAATGCGCACATCCACACACACACACACCTATATATATATACATGTATGCATGCACACGTGCATGCATACATCCATACATGCATGCATTCGTGCATACAGACATACATGCATACATACATACACACATATCTACATACGTACATGCATACCATCACATGTGCATGCATGCACACGGACAGACATTACATGCATAGGTGCGTACATGCATGCATGCATGCATACACATTTACATGCATACATACATGCATACATATGTTAATGCGTTCATGCGCACATGCATGTACACATACATATATACATGCATGCATACATGCGTACAACGATACGTCGATGCGTTTACGCACAGGTATACGATATATAGACATGTATATATGCACACTGTATTCTGTATACAGGCATACGTGCATGCATGCATGCATGCATGCATACATACATGCATACATACATGCATGCATGCACACATACATACGGAATACATGTAAATGACTTGCATGTGTGTATCGCTCAATCGGCATGAATGTGTATCGGCATATGGTTACATTCATGTGATAACATCAGTACCACTCTCTCTCTTTCTCTCTGCCTCTCTCACTCGTCAGCACAGTGTGTTCAGGCCCGCATGCGGTAGGACATGAGTGTGACCGTTGTGCCGCACCGCGCATACCATATGCAAGGTTCTTACGGCAGCGCGCCAGCCCTAGGCCACTTCCCGTGGTCGGCCACTATACTCCTCGCCACCGCAAAGCTACTATCATAAGGAACGCCAAATAAGGAGCCAAGCCCGAGGCCACCCAACTTCGCGCATCGCGCCCCGCGATGCGCGATCATCGTCGCGCCCCGGTGCCCTGGCGACGCCTCCCTGGAGAGGGGCAACCGCTCTCGTGCCGCGCCCAGCCCGAAGATCTTCTCGCCCACGCGGAGGCGCACCCGCGATGCGGCACGGCCGACCCGCAAGTCCAACTCGGCTGGATGGTGCTACCGTGGATGAAACAAATTAGCGCGAAACCGCAACATGACGCTGGAATTCCGCCGTTCGAAGAACATGAATGCACTCCGGGCCACGACAGCACGGGGCTCAAAAACATGCACTTGCGGTGCGCGTTTCTCCCTTACATTTTCGGCGGCGGCCGCCGATCGTGCCCAGCTTGGAACCCGTGGCCTCTGAATGGCGGAAAACAGCTTCGTGTTCATTGCTTCAATCCACGGTGGCACCAGCCCAGCCCTCTCATGGCCCCCTGACCCCTGACCGTTCCGGCCGGCGGCGCGCCTGCCGCGTGCTGAAGTGAGGTGCCCACGCCTGCTCGATCGGAGAGGAGGCGCTGCACCAGGAGGGCACGCCGCGGCATCTGTGGCGTGTGCTGGGTGCGTGTGGGTTCTCCTTCTGCCCCTCCGCCTCACTCTCCCCCGCCCTCTCCTCCTCCTCCTCCTCCTCCTCCTCCTCCTCCGCCTCCTCCTCCTCCTCCTCCTCCTCCTCCTCTCCCCCTCCTGTCTCCTCCTGTCTCCTCCTCCTCCTCCTTCTCCTCCTCCTCCTCCTTCTCCCCTTCTCCTCCTCCTCCTCCTCTGTCTCCTCCTCCTCCTCTCCTCATGTCTCCTCTGTCTCCTCCTCTGTCTCCTCCTCTGTCTCCTCCTCTGTCTCCTCCTCTGTCCTCCTCCTCTGTCTCCTTCCTCTGTCTCTCCTCTGTTCTCCTCCTCCTCCTCCTCCTCCTCCTCCTCCTCCTCCTCTCTCCTCCTCCTCGTCTCCTCCCCTCCTCCTCCTCCTCCTCCTCCTCCTCCTCTGTCCTCCTCCTCCTCCTCTCCTCCTCTCCGTCTCCTCTCCTCCTCCTCCTTCCTCCTCCTCCTCCTCCTCTCCTCATCCTATTCTCCTCATGTCCCCTCTCCTCCTCCTCCTCCTCCTCCTCCTCCTCCCTCCTCCTCCTCTCCTCCTCCTCCTCCTCCTCCCTCAATGCCGCCTCATTCTCCCCCCGTTCCTCCTCTTCCTGCCCCCCATCCCTTCTCTTCGAGGAGGGTCCCGCGCAGGTCTCGAAAGTGTCGAGAAGAGCAGCGGGACTGCCACCGCGGCCGAGGCACGAGAGACAGCGACGTCCTGTGCGACTGCCGACCAGACTCCTCGAGCGATGCCCCGGAGGAGGAGGAGGAGGAGGAGGAAGAGGAGGAGGAAGAGGAGGAGGAGGAGGAGGAGGAAAAGGACGAGGAGGACGAGGAGGAGGAGGAGGAGGAGGAGGGTGGAGGTAAGCAAGCACGAGGAGTATTATGATGAGGAGTAAGAGGAGGAGGAGGAGGAGGAGGAGGAGGAGGAGGAGGAGGAGGAGGAGGAGTAGGAGGAGAAGTTAGAGGGGGAGCAACAGGAGGAGGAGGAGGAGGAGGAGGAGGAGGATCCTTCATCCACCCTTCCTCATCCCTCCACCTTCCTTCTGCTCCTCCGCCTCCTCCTACTTCTCCTCCCTCTCCCCGGCAAAAGGGCCAACTGCCATGGTGCACCGCAGACACGGCTGCGCCGAGCTCTCCCCACCCCACGTTGGTTTATGTATGGGTCAGTTTCTTTGGGCCTGTATATCCTGAGCCAAACGATGGAGAAGGAGTCGCGACGGCAAACAAGTGGATGAAAGTGACGAACATGAAGTTTGAGAAAGGGAAGGCTGACTGGGATTCGAAACAGAGTCATGATGAGGAGAAGAACTGGGGAGGACAGCTCACTCAGGGGCACAATATGACACAACACAGCGGATGGCATTGGAACAATCGCACGTGGCAATCTATGCAGTGCGTGTCCTCATGCTCTCATCCCATGGATCGAATGGCGCGAAGACTGCCAAATCCCCAATCGATGCAAAAACAACGCCATCCTCGCGTGTAACATCTGCCAGGCGCCAGATCTCGAACCCGCTTGAAATCGGAGAAGAATGCGGGTGTTCCCGCCACCTTGCACACGCTCGACGCGGCGACTCTCATCCGCACGCGGTGAAAGATCCTGCGTCGGCTAGCATACTCGATAATCCGGCACCAGAAAGCCAAACAACACACACGTATGCCGCAACCCTCAGGCGTAGCGAAAAGTCGGGGGCCAACAGGTGACGCATGCACCTCGCCTGGGCCACGCGCATTTCACACCACGAAGAGGTGGAGTGACCCGGCACCAGGCAGCTGCAGGGCCACCGGGGCGGAAACACAGCGCAGAAGGAGACGATCCAGCAGAGCGCACCCTATATCTTGCGGCACAGCGGTGGCGAGCACGGAGGCGACCGTGAACGCCCGTTGGTCGAGCTGAACCTGTCGCGAGACAAGGCTTGCTTGCCTCGGTGTTCTATTCGTTCCGCTTCCCTGGGGAAACTTACGACGTCCATCGATAGCAGCTCGGACTCGTCCTGCTGCGCGCTCGCGCCTGCACTCGCTGCCGCTCGGGGTCGCCGGGGCTGCTGCTGGCAGCACCTGTGCTCGAGTGCCCTCGTTCGGCCTGCCTGTGGCGCCCGCGCCCAAGCCGAGGGGAGCAGCCGCCCAGGACAAGAGGCGCCCTCTTCGCTGCACATCACTGCCGCAGTAGAGGGACCCGACCACAAGAAACCTTCCACAAGAAACCTTCCACTAGAAACTCTCCATCGAAAAACCATCGAAACCCCAGAAACCCAGGGCACCCTGGAGGCACGCAGGGTGTTTCTTGCTTTGGACGCCCGAAATGGGTACGGAAAAAATGGGTACAATGCCCAACGACAAATGTTGTCCCAAACCAACAGCGGCCGCTGTTGGGCAGGCGGCCTTCTGTCTCAAATGGACACAGGCCGCGGCGGCGCGGACAGCGAGTCCTGTTCAAAATGAACAGGAACTGCTGTTGAGCATTGTACCCATTCTTTTCGTGCCCATCTCGTTCGTGTTGGTCTTGGTCTCCACTGTAATCCCACCAGCCCTCCTGACGCATGTTGTTTCGAGCGGCAGGCCTTCCAAAACGACTTCGCCTTCCCCTTCGACGGGGGGGCAACCCCTCCCCTACCCCCCTCTGGGGGTGTGGACGCAGGGGGGCGGGCGCGAGGCATCAGAGGGTTCAATATTACCGCAGGATGGCTCCAGGATGGCCCAGCATTACCTGACAGATGGCCCAAGATGGCCAAAACTGATCCAGATGGCATCTAGCATGCCTCCAAGAGGCTCCAAGGAAGCCCCAGGACGGCTTCAAGCTGGCCGCAGAGCACACGACGATCCGAAATCCTTGAACACTTTAGGTCTGAACACGGTTTCGCCGCCTCGCCTTTTCGGCTTCCGATGGGCCTCTACAGGCTCAAAGAGTCCCCGAGATGCCACAAGAAGGCCCCGAAGGAAACAAATAAGGACTCTGGGAGGGCCCCAAAGGCTCACAGGAGCTCATAGAGATGAAAAACCAAAAGGCCAATACGGCTACTCCACGGACCTCTCATGGGGTGCGTTCTGACCAGGATGTCGAGGCGCATGCAGCCCGTGGTAACGAGGGAGGGGCAGCAGTGTCACTGCCTTGTCCTCCTCTGAGAAGAGGTGCACAAGAGGATTGGTCTCGGGCTCCAAAAGAGGAGACCACGGTTTAGGCTCCCCTTCTTGAATCGCTCGTCTTCAGCGTGGCCCCGAAATGGCCGCAAGAGGCTCCTGGAGGAGCCCCCAGGTGGCCACAGATGACCTGCAATATGCCCCAAGCTGGTCAGTCGTTCGAGGGAGGAGCTGATCCATCTTTCATGTTGACTGGTGCCCCCTCCGTATTCCATGAGACATCGCCGGCCGGGAACATGTTTTTGATGGGCTGGTGGGGGGTACGCGAAATGACGCAACATGTGATGATGGGAACTCTGCTTGCTCAGGATATTAGCAGTAAGCCCAGCGCGACCCCAATTTGGGGAAAGCTTCCAAGTGATTAGTTAACTAAGCAAGGAAGGCAATGTTTTGCATTGCTTTGCGTTGCTTGGCATTGCTTTGCATTGATTTGCGTTGCTAGGCGTTGTTTGGCGTTGCCTTGATTTGAACTGATTTGCTTAAAGTTTCGTTGCTTGGGATTGCTTCGCCTTGATTTTCTTGGCATTGTTTTGCTTGGCATTTGGCTTGGCATTGTTTGACATTCATTGGCGTTGTTTGGCATCATTCGGCATTGCTTGGCGTTGCTTGGCGGTGCTTGGCATTGCTTGGCATTCCTTGGCGTTGTTTGTCATTACTCGGTGTTTCTTAGCATTGCTTTGTGTTGCTTTGCATTTATTGGCATTGCTTGGCATTGCTTGACGTTGCTTGGCAGTGCTTGGCAATGCTTGGCGTTACTAGGCATTGCTTTGTGCTGCCTGCCATTGCCTGGCACTGCTATGCGCTGCTTGGCACTGCCTTGCGCTGCTTGGCATGCCCTTGCTCTGCTTTGCTCGGCACTGCCTTGCATTGCATTGCAGCGCAGTGCCTAGCAACGGGACAGCCGAGCAACCTGGGCAACTTCGGGGATCTGGGGATCTTCTGACCCGGCTCAATCCAGACCCGGGTCAGTCCAGGCCTTGCAGGATCCTGCAAGATCCTGCAGGATTCTGCAGGATCCTGCACCCAAGCTGGGGTCAATGCACCCCTGGCTCTTCAAGATCCTGCAAGATCCTGCAGGATCCAGCGCTTTGACTGACCCCCGTTTGCATTGACCCCCGTCTCTTGTCGGGGGCGGCCAAGAGGGGGGGTCTTCCAAGAGGGGGGGGCGCAAATCATGGCCGGCGGCATGTGCGCGGCACAGGGGATGGCCAGGGACGCATTGAAATAAGAAGAGGCACCATGACATCTGGGGAGATATCATGGCCCCCGCCATGATATCCACTCCCCCCAGTCATCACCCCCCTCTTGGCCGCCCCCGCCCCCGTCTTTTGAGCCCCAGCAGCTGGGCAGACAGGGAAGCACGGGCCACGGGGCATCCCGAGGGAGGCCGGACGCCCGGAGGCAACCCCGAGGAGGGCCTGCGGGCTCAGGCCTCTTGCGGCTATACCAGTTCTTCGGCAACGTGCAGGGAGGAGGAGGAGGAGGAGGAGGAGGAGGAGGAGGAGGAGGAGGAGGAGGAGGACCAGAGCAAACCCAAGAGGAACCCCTAAGCCGAGTTGGGGAAACCACACCCATATGTGGCGGATTTCGGAAACCCTGACCCTAAAAACCTTTTTTCATTTCTTGGGGGCGCATCTTTTACTTCCGCCACCTTCCGCCGCCCTTCCGCTGGCTTCCGCCGGCGGAGGCGGCCTCGTTTTACTTCCGCCGACCTTCGGCCGCCTTCCGCCGCGAAAGAGATGACAACCCCTTCGATCCTCGAAGGCAAGGCCTTTTTGGAACGCCTCATATGCCTACACACGGCCTTGACCGACCTAAGATTCAAAACATCCATGGAAGCTGGGGCACCGAAATGCCCCCCCGCCCCCCACTCACACTGGAAAGCTGAGGGAAGGAGCACATGGAGGTGCCACCAGGGGCGGACACCCTACTTTAGAATAACGACATCAGTGCCGATGACGGTAAACTGCATGAGCGCCGATACCCTGCAAAGCAAACCGAAAGTATTGAAAACGCAGTATCATTAAATGTTGTGTTGCTCTTCAAGGCTACATCCACACTGCTCTTCAAGGTTACATCCACAAGTCGAGGCCAGTAGTTAATAAGTGGAGATCGAACTCGCTTGTAAGTCCTTCGTCGCAGCACGGGCGGGCCAGATGTCAAGCTTCGCCTGTCGAACGCCATATGTGATCGATCACGCTACTATCCCTGGGTGGCTTCCTTCATCGGTATCAAACCAATCGGGAGCCATTGAACCTGTCACAACGCGAAAAAAACGCACGAGGCCACCATCCGCCCTGATCGCCGTCGTGTGCGCAAATACTTGGCCTGGCCCTGCTTGACATGCTCAATAATGCAGAGCGATCGAACACTGCCTTGATGACGAGAAGGAGCAGATAGGCGAAGCAAGGATCGCGAGGAGGTGGAGGAGAAGAGGGACGGATGGAACGGAGAGCACTGGGAGGGGAAGGGCGAGAGGGAGAGGACGGAGGAGGGCAGGAGGGGAAGGGCAAGGAGGGAAGAGGGAAAGAGGAGAGATGGGGATGGAGGAGGTTGGGAGTGAGAACGAAGAGGGAGGGAGGAGAGAGGATTGGGAGGGTGGGAGGGAGGAGAAGGGAGAAGGAGGGAGGGGGAGTGGAGACCAAGGTGCAGAACAGAGAGCAGATGGAGGGAGGGTGGGGTTGGATCAAGATCGATCTGATTTGACCCTAGACTCGAGTCCAAACCTGCTTGCTGGGTGATTGTGAACAGGTGGCCTCAAGTAAAACGAATTCCTAGTAAAACCGCGGCCAGCTTGTCGATTCCGAGTGGGAACAAAGAGGGCAAGGAAAAGTCGAGGGAGGACAGGCGAGCGTGTGCCACCCAAAAGTAGGATGGCACTGCGACGTGGCTGGTCGGCTCAGGCTGCGAGCCCAAAACTTCATGGCCCTACGATTCCAGCTCTCCTCCTACTCCACCTCCTGATCCGTCGTCCGATAATGAGTGTGAACACCATGGCACCAAAGCTGGAACAGATGATGCCGCCATCGGTGGGCAAAAGCACGAACCCCGAATCGGGACGCGGGTCTCGCTGCATCATCCTCAGACCAAGACCGACGCGTCGCTTGGGCACCACTCCCCGCTGCAGTCGCCCGTGCAGCGAGCCTCGCTCTGGCCGCACCAGTCCGTCTTGCAGCTTGCAGACGAGCACCCCCCCCAGCAGCACTTGCCGGAGCCCGACGGAGCGGGCGCGGGAGGACCTGGCGCACGGTTTTCACCGGGGCCGTGGGCGACCCGAGGAGGAGGATGAAGTGGAGGGGGGGGAAGGAGAGGAGGAGGAGGAGGAGGAGGAGGAGGAGGAGGAGGAGGAGGAGGAGGAGGAGGAGGACGGGTCGCCTAAGCCCTTCGGAGAAACCCTCCAGGACCTGGCGGCGATGGCGGGGCCGGGGGTGCTGGCGGCTCAGGCCCATCAGTGGTACCAATGTCGCCGAACCTGATGGTGAGCGTTTTCTTATTCGGCGTTGCGACGTTGGGCGGAACGGGGGGAGGAGGGGGGGGTCTGGCTCCGGACCTCTGCTTGATGCGACTGTTTGCAGCAGTGCGTCCCATGGGGGAGGCTCCACCTGCTCGAAAGAGGCGCCAGAAACAGCCAAGATCTGCTCCACGGGCGGGGGGGAGGGGGGGGGGGTGCGAGGGCCCGCGCCGATCGGCAACAGAACGAATATAAAAACGCCGAACCTGATGTTGGAGAAAGTCACCGCTGCGTCGGGGGCGTTGTTCTCGACGTCGCCGGGCTTGCCCGAATCCGTCGGGCAGGGCCCACGGGCACACCCCGGACCGGTGCAGCCGGCGGGGTACGTGGAGTCCAGCCAGAGCATGTTGGCCTCGTGGTCGTCCCAGAGGCTCAGCACAAGGACCATGCCCTTTTCCATGGCCTCGCCCATTTTCTTCAGGCCACCCTTCTGCAAAAAGTTCGTGTGGTCCTTGAAGAGTCCAGCCTCGGCTTCACAGAACTCCGTTGAGATCGAGTCGAACTGGTTCGAGCCAACGGTCAATTCGGGGGTGCCGATCTTCTTTCCGTTCTGGACATAATGACGGCGAATTTCCTTGAGGTCCCCACTGTCCGTGCCATCTTAACAACTGTCACCTTCTGCAAGGTGTCAATGACGCCGCCCTTGCCAAAGAAAGTCGTGTTGCCCAAACGGTAAGTCTGCAAGTCACAACCGTTCTTGTCACACAGCCCCTTGTAGCGACTGCCAGCTGTGTTGCCACAGTCATCCCCCTCGCAACGCCGATGGCCATCAGTCGTGCACGAATGAGCTGTGTACGCCGTACTGATGCTGTTCGCTTCCCATACGTCCATCTCTGTACAGCATGCGCCATATTGGCCTACACCAGTACCTGGCCCTGTGGCTGTCCAGTTGACGACATTGCCCTCGCCGTTAATGAATTTCACGTCCTGCGGGCATTGTGCATCGCAGTAACCCGTCCCATACTTAGCTCCAGCCTTGTTAGTGGGATTCTTCGCCATGCCTCCATCAGCGTCCATCTCGACGAAATACACGGCACCATTGAGACCGCAGGGCAACTTTGACACATCAACATCAAAAGTAAACTCCTTGTTCTTCAATTTGAACATGTAGTACGTTGATTCATCATCCATGAGGAAATTTCGGGACCCGACGTTTTTCGAATAAGCCCCTTGCGTGACGAAACCCATCTTCAGCTCATCACCATTGGTCGTCACTCCATATGTGCTTGCATACTCCGTGTCGGCAGCACCGACCTCGCAATTCGCCGCGCACGTTTTTGGATCAGGGCAAATACTCGTATCCCATTGGTTACCCGTGTAGCAATTCACTGGCTGTCCTCTCTTGTGCACCCACCGCCAATTCTGATCGATCACGACCTCCTTCTCCTGTGATATGCAGCCTGAAGCGGTGCACATAGAGACCGAGAGCTTGGGATGTTCCTCTCTTTTGAGGCTGCCAGCATGCTGTGCGATACCAAGAGCAAGGCCACCAGCACAAATAACGAGAGATAGAGCCATCGGAAGTAGATTGCGGCCAAAGGCCACGGATAATTGCTCAAGCAAAAGGTTCGCTCAAGGCGTATTTGAGCAAATAATGGCTTGAGTTCAGGGGCGGACGGTACATGGCACACCGCACGAGACACCGAAAAAGCCGACGGTGTGGCACGGCCTTGGTCATTTTGAATAGTATGGATATCACGACGGCCCAAGCTAGCACGAGGAACGTACCAGAAGAGAGGCAGCGGTGGCAAAACAAAACATCAACCACCCGAATTCTGTGCAGTTGTTCAATACAAAGCGACGTCGCTTTCAAATAATGGATAGAAGCGCAATCAGTTTGGGTCCAAGTCGATCACATCCCTCGCAACTGGAAACTTCATGCTTCACACGATTTCCGTTGGGACTGCTCAGAGGCCCTCCTCCCAGCGACCCGCGGCAGGCCAGCATCAGGTTCCAGGACAGCCGGAAACCAACCCAAGACGTCTCCAAGACGGTCCAAAACAAGCCCATGGCAAGTGCAAGCTCCCTCCTGGCCCCTACGGCCCCGAGACCGCTCGAGGCCCCGACTGCTGGACGTCCCCGAGCAAGACCAGAGCACGCCCCAAGAGCCCCACCAAATGCTCCCAACAAGTCAACGTTACCTCCGCGGGGCACACAAGTGGCAATAAAAACTTGGGGCGGCAAATGAAGATATGCGTGTACACATGTATACGCGCATATAAATGAATATGTGTATATGTGTCCAAGTGTGTGTATGCGTGCGAGTGTGTGTGTGTGTGCGTGTGTGTATGTGTGTGCGTCGTGCGTGCGTGCATGCGTGCGTGCGTGGGAGTGCGTGTGTGTGTGTGATTTGTGTGTGTGTGTGTGTTTGTGTGTGTCTGTGTGCGTGTGCAAGTGCGTGTGCGCGTGTGCGCGTGATCGTGCGCGTGTGTGTGTGTGTGTGTGTGTATGTGCGTGTGCGTGTGCGTGTGCGTGTGCGTGTGCGTGTGCGTGTGCGTGTGCGTGTG